AATATTGATGAAACAAGCATGATTCTAAATCTCAAATACTGGACCTGTACTGGTCCGGCTAAAGGACGACATCCAGTACAGACTAGCATATTAATTCAGGGTATGCTGGTGTGTACTGCAGGCTATACGAGAAATGAGCAAACCACTGGTGGAAGACCCAAGGTGAAGAAGAGAGAGGGGGCTGGGTCATTGTTTAACCCTCAAAGAATAAAACAAAACAAATGAACTGGACAGGATTGCCCATGAAACGGGTGGTCCACGTTCAAACTGGAAAATTCTGCCATGCACATATTCGTTGCATTCTATCCTATAATCACTCTAGAGGAACTCTAAAGTTAAAAACCAATGAAAAAACTATTTATTTATCATGACAAATTCAAAATATTCACATGTACCCCAAGACCAATAGCATCAAAGATGTGTGCAACAAGATCATCATCAGAAACGAGATCATCTAAGTCTAAGCAACTAAAAAAAAGATAAAATCCTCATTTCCCTCCTTTACTTACTTGGTTTTACAATCAGCACATTCCCGATTCTCTGGTAACTTCATAAGCCCCTCCAATATCTGAAATCACACAGAAAATAAAACAGGTCAAAGTGAAATCCCTTAACCAAAGTATGAGATGCAACAACAATGCAATAAAAGAAGTTTATCATAGCAATTATTTTCATAATATAAAAAAATGTTAGTGAAAAAGATTTATATCAGGTATCACCGCAACAATATTAACATGCATGTTTACTTATTTCTATTTTTAATCATTTCAATCAATGTTTATGGTTTCCATATTGATTCAATGATAAAAATGTGACTAATCAATTGTCAGATTTTGTTTAAAGAATAGATGATACTATTTAATTTTAAGAAATGATCCCAGACATCATCATGCATCCTGATGATGACGATCAGTTTATCAATTTTAAACTCTAGAACAAATCACATGCAGCAGCTATAGCCTAATTTTCAAACAAGTTGTCAAGATGGGAACGTGCCAACCATTCAACTTTACGATGGTGTACATCCTCATGAAACGCCATACATCAACAAGACATGAATTCCCAGCTATGAAACCTAAAGGCTATCTCGTCCTTTATTACTGTTCTATCCAAAGTTTGTCTTGCTCTATAACTTGTGCAAACTCGATCCTGATTGACATCTTGTCGTTGTTTGTTGCCCAATGAGGTTCAGTTGGATCTCTGGAGATCACCTTAAATGGTTTCCATAATCTTATCCTAATTTAGATTAAACTTTGAGTAATCAGCTTATCAAGGATTTAGTCAATTATATGCCATCTTTCATGACAACAGAAACTATATATTTCAATATCCCCAACTTACTATAATATTTTACTTTCACCCTTTAAGCAAGACTGATCACAGTGTTGTCTGCAGGATAACAACACAATAAATTAGAGCTTTCCTGCTTGGCCAATATATTCTTTAGTATTAGCATATGTGCAGTGCTTTTTATTAATCATCGGTTCCATAATTTAACAAAAATTGATCCTTTTTTTCTTTTTGTTGTCCATTTCAGCAAATTCATTTAACTCATCAAAGTTGAATTCCATAACCCCATTTTATTCCTGTCATCTCCTAAAGTTCATACTCAAATTTCTCTCCATACTTCCAACTTAGAGATGATCTCTACTCTGGCATGATCAAAATTTATACATATGGCATCATGATCAACATTATAGCTAACTTTCCAATAAACATAAACAAAAGTATAAAATTTTAACAAACAGAAACCAGTAGCTTCTTGACCAATTAGTTCTCCAGCTATACAAGTGAAGCAACAGCCTCTTCTAGGCTTACTGCTTTTCGAGCTGTGAAATCTAAACCCAATTTTCCGTTTACCAGTTTTTTCACATCAGTGAGAAATTCTGCATGAATTACTTTCTGGAAATTAAGCATAGACTTCTTTAGATAGAAGAAATAAGCAATCATGAAACTAACGCCACAAGAGACTAATTTACTGTCCTTTTTTGAAGCTTATAGAGTTGTCTACCTCCTATGGATAGAACAAATTCAACCTCGTGCAAATAAACCTCTTTAAATCAAAGGCGAGGCTGATTAACCTCCAACATCAATTTCAGCGCAAAAAAAAAATCCAGAGATCACATCTTTTTCCCAAAAAAAATTGACACTCGAATCACATGAACAACACCTACAGCGGACTAGAACGGCACACAACAAAGCCCCCAACCAACACCAATGAAATCCCAATCTAACAGCCCACGGGTCTCCAACTAACCGCAAATCCGTAATCGAAAGTTCAAGAAGGGTGACCAACATCGCAGATCTCAGAAGTCCCTTTCACCAAATAGCCAATTTGATGAATTGATTCAACTAAGCCACATACCTACGATTCAAAATCATAAGAAATCGGCCGAAAACGAAGAAGCTAAGATTTTGAGGGTACAGGCGAAACCTTTTTGTGTTTGGCATTGAGTTCCTTGGAGACGGAGGCCTTCTCGTTCATTCTGGCGCCGCAAATTCAACAGCGGATCGAGAATAATCGCCCGATTCTACAGATGTACTAGTAGTAGTAGTATAAAAAGAGAAAAAAAAAAAAAAAAGTACTGTTCTGTCTCCTCTGCCTCTCTTCCGACAGAGAGAGAGAGGCGGGCGAGGGGCGCAGAGAAGACCGGAGAGGGGAAGTAAAAGAGTCGCAACAAATGCACTTATTTCTTGACCTTTTCCCATTCTCCTCCTAATTTTTTTTTCCTTTTTTTTTAATTGACTATTTTATGTTAGTGGCTTTCTTCTTTTGTGATCGACACGCGGAATTTACGTGTTACCAAAAGTGGCATAAAACCGGATATCTAAATTAAAATGTAATATTAAAACCGATGAATATGGTGAGATATTTGAATATATTTATTAGTAATTTTTCTAAAAATATTTATATTTTGAGTATTTTTCAATCGATGCCCTTTTTATTTTTTTAACGTCCTCATAATTTTTCTTTAAAATTTTTTTCACCTGTTACAATATTTTAACCATCATAATAAAATACTAAAAAAATTACTTAAAAATATTATTAAATGAGCCAAATAAAATTAAAGCACACTAAAAACCATTTGATATATCATATCACCTAAATAAAAATAAAAAATTAATTTTTATAATATTTTGATCATCATAATAAAAATATTATAAACTTTACTCGAAAACACTGTAAATGAGTCAATTGAATTCATAATTTTAACTATACCAACTATAAACCTAAAAAAAAATGATATCGTCATAATTTATCGATAACAAAAGAATATCAGTTATATTTTTTTCAATGGTATTTATAATATTTTTAGTACCTTGATGAAAACACTATAAATGTTATTGAAAATTACCCAAAAAAAGTCAAATAAAAATTTAAAACTGATAAAAATAAAAATAAAAATTGGTGAAAATTAAAGATTTTTTGCAATAAAATAAAATAAAATAGAAGTACTAATTAAAAAATAATCTAAAATATGAGTATTTTTTAGAAAAAACATCCTGTGTTGATCGCATGATATTACTTAGATAAAAATGATAGATATTACTTGTACGCCCTGCCTCTGTTGTAGTGAATTGACTTAATATTCTCGTTGTAAAGTCAACTGCTATAAAGGACAACTCCACTCTCTCATTCACATAGTTCAAATTCTTTGGATAGGGTGGCACTTGTTAATGTTGATACCACAATGATTGTGACTACAACAATGAACATGTGTTATTATCATCAAAAATAACACTTGCTAAAAATCATATCACTCATTATGAAATAAATAATTTATTTTAAATAATTTTTTTTAACTTATTCATATGATTAAGAAAATTAATTTAATCATTTCTTAATCATACTACATAAATAAGAAAATTAATAATTTAAAATAAAATAATAAAATTATTTATGATAATTTAATTTATGTTAAGAGAGAAGAATTATCGGTGATTACATATGTTTTATGCAACACTGTGAATTTTCTAGTACTCTGTTGGGCTATGAGCTGGGCCCATGGTGGGCCACACGGTGCTCCTACCAGTATTTGGTGGGGCGAGTGAAGGAAATTGAGTCACACAACCACCGTGCTATCATCGCATGGTTATCTCCGAGATTTACCGGTCTTCTGTAATCACCATGAAGAAGCAAATAGTTATTTCGTAGCATTTGCAAGCTTAATTCTTGCCGTATGATGATTCCCTGTGGGACGCCACGGTGGTTCCATCTAACTCTCTTCCTCGACACGCCAAAGGCAACGGAAGAACACGAAGAAGGCGTTCTGATGGGCCATTCTCAAACAAACTTGATCTGATGCTGTGGCTGCATGTGTGATGATAAGCATACAGCGTACAGCAACAGCAACAGTCATCATTGTTATCATTATAAGCCCCTCAGACCCAACGTTGGGGGATCTTTTATGAACCATCAATTATAATATAATGAAAAGAAATGATTGATGTTTGACCGAATCATCGTTTTGTTTTCATGGCGTTATTGTATCTGCAGAACAGCTTCAGATTTTTCAGACCTTTGGAACAAGATTTTCGATACTTTTTTATATTATATTATATTATATTATATTATATTATATATATATATATATATTCCAAGTACAAAGTGTGGGGTATTGTGGGAATCCCGAAGAAGACAGGGGGGGCATTCCCGGAGCGATACTGACTTCCAAGAATATCCGGCTTCCCAGAAGGAAAGGACCAAACTGCCCCTTGGAGATGATGAGGTCATTTAAACGGTCACGTTTTAGTTCGAGGAGGAAGTTGCTCGATGCGCGAAATGTGGAGTCAAAGGAAGCAAAGGAAACAGTCGCCAGAAACACTCCCGCCACAGAAAAGAGGAGAAAGAAGTGGAGAGAAAGAGGGAGAGGAAGTTTGGAAGATTCGTGCAGTTAGATGCAGGCGCAGAATAAGTTGGAGTGACGGTGGGAGAGGAACAGAAACAGCGATATAGAGAGAGGGAGGGAGGGCTGAGGGGAAGGGTGGGGGAAGCAACAATGGCACAACAAGAAAGCAGAGGAGAAGAGGAGGAGGTCAAGCTATCGAGCAAGGAGGAGGAGACAGCAGAGGCGATTGCGGGGTTCAAGTTTAATGTCCATGCGCCGGAGTTCGTACCGAGGTCGCAGCTGCAGGCCGCGCCGGCCCTGTCGGCCGGCTGCTTCTGCCCTTACCTCCAGTTCTTCGGGAACGGAGGCGGCGGCGCGGCGCTGGGGCCGGAGTGGTTCTACTTTACGGAGCAAGAGCCTGTCCACTTCATGCCGGATTTCCACGGGAAGATTGCTGGCCATTCGAAGAGCAACAGCGACATGATTCAGAAGATCGTCAAGCAGGTCTCTTTCTTGCTGCTGATTCTGATCCCTCTTCGCCACCCATCTCTTGCATGTGTTCTTTGACTGAATCTATTCCGCATCCAGGTGGAGTACCAATTCAGTGATACTAATCTGGTTGCCAATGATTTCCTAATGAAGATCATGAACAAAGATCCCGAGGGTTATGGTAAGCAAAATGATGCTCCTTTGCCGGCGCAATTATGGATCTGATTACAGTGTCTTGATGACGGCAATCACATGTCCTCTTGTCTCCAGTTCCGATGTCAGTGGTTGCGTCCTGGAAAAAGATCAAGTGTCTCGGCGCAAACAACCACATGCTGGCGAAAGCACTTCGGACCTCGACGAAGCTTGTGAGTGCTTCCTCCATTCCCCATGTCCGCTCCACCACATGCCGTCGGAAGAAACCTTTGTCATCACGCACGTTTTGCAGGTTCTTAGCGAGGACGGCAAGAAGATCAAGCGTAAACAAGTCTTCACGGAACGAGACAAGGAGGAACTGCAGGTGAGTTCATAAGACACGACAGATGAAGGAAGCAGTTCGATCTATACATCTCTGTTACGTGATTGATATGTGGCTTTCTCTGTTGCAGTCTCGCACTGTTGTGGTGGAAAACCTGCCCGAGGATTACTCACGTCAAAACCTGGAAAAGATGTTCAGTGTTGTTGGGAGGTCAAATGCTTGCGTTTTTATCCCTATCGATTGCTCAAACAGGAAAAGAAAAAGAGTTGCATTAACAGCTAATAAATGTTATTTTTCTTGATTTCTGAACAGTGTGAAGAACATCCGAATATGCCATCCTCAAGAACCCAATTCTGCAAGAAGCACGAAAAGCGATTTGCTAATCAGCAACAAGGTTCGTTGTCGCTCATATTTATAATGAAAACTAAGTTGAATCATAGACTTTCTCATCATCAAACTTCTGCTACTAGTGCTTAATTTTCGATTTGAATCTTGCAATTTACTTGCTTGAAGCTGCATGCGCTGGTGGAGTACGAGACCACAGAGCAAGCCGAGAAGGCAGTAAGTCGAATTAACGACCTCTTATATGTCTGACACCTTCGAACTCCTTACCGAGATTCTTCATTCACAGAGCAAATCTCATTGTCGTTGTGCAGGTCGAGAAGCTAAATGATGAAAGGAACTGGAGAAAAGGCCTTCGAGTTCGAACCATGCTAAGATGCTCGGTAACTTGATCTATTTTTTGCCTCGGCATTCGTTAGATTAATGAATCTGATTCTACACATCCTGAGCTTTTCTTTTGCTTCCTCGCTAGCCAAAATCTGTGATAAGAGGCAACCATTTCGAATTGTACTCCGAGGATGACCAATCTCCTTCTTCTCAAACCTTAGGCTCTCCTCGCATCGAACAGCTACTCGACCACAATGTAAGTCCGAGATCTCCAGCTTCCGTGATCATGTCTTCGCCAGACTCATGTCCCATGTCTTTACAGAATGAAGATAACCAGAGTGGTCCGAGGAAAGCGTGGGGGAGGGGACGAGTCAAGCCACACGGACTTCTTGCTCCGAATCTAAGTGGGCGTGGCTTGCTGACCCAGGCTCCACAGATCGGTGGGGCACTCGGCCATGGAGGAGAAGCGTCAAGCAAGCAGACTCCGCAGGGGCCAAGAATGCCCGACGGAACGCGTGGGTTCACCATGGGTCGGGGGAAGCCGCTCAGCCCTGTTCTGGGACGCTCACCGACTCCAGCCGCAGCTCTTGCCTCCGTCCACCTGTGAACCAGAGACTGATTGCCATCAAGAACATGCAACTTTCTTCAGAGCATTGGCGAAGGTACTCTGTTGTAATAATTACCTCTTTAGGGTAGTCTGAAGTGATGCTGTACTTCTATCTTTTCCCACTACCTAAGCTGCTCGTTCTACTTTGTTTCGTTCCTGCAATAACCATTCATTTGTATTATGTACTGCTCTTTCAGCTAGACTCGAATAAATTTGCACTTGTACTGTGATTGTGCAAATCAAATCAGCATGTTGAGCTTCAATTTTTCTATGATAAGAAAATATGTGACTCCGCATGACATGATTCAGAAGATCGACAACATTATCAGTATCAGAGCTCCGAAATGAGCCATCTGATGCTTGATTACAGGAATTAAGTTTGTGTCAATTGGAGGAACCACTAGACTACATTATCAATCACTTGGCCACACACATAATCAAACATGCACCACACACAGATTGCACCTTGTGAGAAAATGCTGCGCCTCGACATTCTATGACTCGGTTATCCACACAGAGACGATAGAGGTGTTTTACCACACCAACACAACGAGAACAGCAACTGAGAGGGCGACCGCAACAATTGTTCTTGAAGGCTTCTTAGCCCAAGCACCTCCTGCACCTGTATTCAAAGTCATTATTTTAGCCTTCCGTTACAAGATCGAAGTCATCCGTTAAGTTGTGTGGCGTTTGATCGTTACCTTGCATGATGCCTGAGGACGACGGCGGTAACGCTGGTGGCTGGCTCGTGCACTGCACCAGCCTGTATACTGAGTTATTGCTCGTGCACTCCGCCTTTCCCATCGAAAACATCCGAAGCGAGGAGGCTGCCTCGGCGGCCAGCCAATTCATCGGCTGTATCAACGACCGGTTGAAGCGCTCAGGCTCGGTCACGTTTATATGGATCGAGCGTGCTCACGTACTGCTCAGAGAAATCTAAGATGGAGAAGAAGCCACCCGGAGGAAGCAATCAGGATACCAAACTTGGTCTCGGGCGACGATGGCGGCCACAGCAGTAAGTCAGGTTCGGCATGTAACGAAGCCGAAAACCCGATCCCTGCTCTCGCCGGCTGTGCCGTTGAGGAAGCCCTCTTCCACAGCAGCTTCGGAGGAGAGGGATGGCAGGAGGACGTTGAGGTTGGTGGCGTTGATGCTCGAGTTGGTGTTTGAGAGCACGCATGTGGCTCTCCAAAAGTCGGGATAACTGCTTGAGAGGCGAAGCTGGGTGAGAAGATGAGCGAGGAAGAGAAGCAGCAGCAGTTTGCGATGGATGAGATCCATGTGTAAGGCTGTCAGCTGGGCACATCCATGTATAATGCTGCGCTCCGCCGCAATTTTGATGGTCAACGTTTCTTTTGTGTTAGAAAAGTCAACCTTCACGTAGTTCATGGAAGTCGTCCAAGAACAGGGCACTTGGTAACTTAAAACGTTGACTGTTCTCGTCCACAGCCAGATCGATCTACTTGCCGAATGCACAAAAGAGAGTCACATGAGTTATTCTGCAAAAACTACGCACGTAGAAAAGCTGTTTCGGGTCAAAATCATGTGGCAGCAGAAGTCAACGTATGGGATCTATATTGAGAAGTGGCATATCAGATGTGAAGTCCACCGAAGCCATCCACTGGGAATTGACCATTCTGGAGTGAACAGCCAACAGGATTGTTTCGTCAACGGATTCAACCACTTCATACATTAGTGAGAGTTTGATCGTCTAAGAGTTCATTTCTCCAAGGAATATATCGATATATAAACCCGTGCTAACTTCTCTTCTGAAGAGAAGAATGGATTCGTTCCAGGGAGTCATGCATCTCTTCATAGCACCATCAAAGATTTGAGGTTGGTGTCCATTCGAATCACAAACTCATGGACCTCTACCTTTCTCACTCTTTGCTTAGCACCCTCAAAGTATCCATCTCATGTTCTCCCTTCCCTCTTTCTTCAAAGCATCAACGGATTCCAGATCAACAGGTAGCTGCTATCTAGGATAGAAGGGGCTCCTCCTTCTCCTCCCATTTATCTAATCTCTTCTTAGCTTCTTCCACCTGCAACACAGAAAACATCAGAACCTTCTCTTCTAAATTGCTAACATAAATAACATGAGATCATTCATCTTCTCCTATCATTTAAATCTATTTGTCATTTAGCCATAGAACATCACAGTTTTGATTCTGCATTCTATCTTATCATCATGACAAGAATCATCATCCTGTATATAACTTGATATCTTATTAATCAATGAGCCTCAAATTACTATCTGATTGCTTGTCTCACAAAGAACATGGGATCATCAACCGGTATCAATCAAATGTTTGGGATAGCCATTGGCTGGAAAGGAGATTAAATGCAATAAACTTGAGATTACCTCTTTGTTCCAATCGGTTCGGAAAGTGACCACCAGTAAAATAAGTGTCTGGTTGACTGTTCCAGCTATCAACCCGCACCATATTCCCTGCACATTAATGACTTGTGTCACCTACGTTTACCATCAGGAGGTCACGAAAATGCATGCTCGTGTCTAAGCGTTTACCTTCACTCCCAAGCCAAATTTGAAGCCAAGGAGACAACCTGCTGGCACACCAACTATGTAGTAGCAGCCAACATTGACGTATGCCACAAATGCTTGCCATCCACAGCCAACAGCAACACCTTCAGTTACGTAGATCACGCTTATTACAGAATTCATACAAATGGACTGATGCTACAGTTGTTTGACTTCCGATGTCTGTTTGTCTCTGTAGCTATTAGCTAATGAGATCGATCGATGCACTTAAAAGTGGCAATTGGTGTAGGATCTGATGATGAGAGTTTGAACCCACAAATCTACCTCAGCTGCTTCATGGTGCATCGGCTTAAAAAGGAGTGATGATTACTGGTACCTGATAAGACAGGCTGTATGCCATTGAGGACGATGGAGGCGGCGAGCAAAGGACAGAGATCAGAGACGGCACGAGCGACCGTCTCGCCTTCAGTGAAGATATAGCTGATGTAGTCCCGAAGGCTGAGGACGATCATCGCCGCCATGACGGATACCGCGAAAGACACCGCCGTGACGACCACCACCGAGAACGCCGCCGACTTGGGATTCCCGGCACCCAGTTCATTGCTTACGCGCACGCTGTGGGAAGTAGAAACAAGCTTCAGAGGACGCATTGCGATTACAAATCCGTTTTGGTCATAGAGCGAGAGAGACATGGTGATGACTGACCTTGCAGCGGCGTTGAATCCGACTGAGATCATAAATATCCCAGTATTGATGCCCATACTGCACCAACAAGCAGCACAGAAAATCCAATACTAGTAAATCAAATCTAACATATAAAGCATGTCACCCGGAGAACGCTATGCGATTTGGATTCTGTGCATCCGAGTTGAGGTATCAGGTGGTGCATGCCACTAAAACAGGAAGAGGACGATACAAATGGTAAGAAGGCATCGAAGACTAGTCCTCACCACACGGAGAGGGAATCAAGGGCCAACGCCGGGTCCTTCAGCAGCCCAGTAATGAGCACCAGGATCTGGTAGTACCACGTCTCCAAGCACAGCATCACTGCGGAGGCCGTGGTCAACCGGAAGAACTCCGGCAGCCCCGAGAAGGCTTGCCAGGTGAACCCGGTCCACGTGGAGCGGCACAGCCGGCTGGTGACGATGTACACGAACTGCGCCCCTACGATGATGCACCAAGACAGGCTCAGCACCAGCGAGGCGCCCAGCAGCCCCAGCCCGACTTTGTACACCACTACCCAGGTCAGCAGCAGGTGCACCACCAGCGTCGCGGCCGAGATGTAGGCGCTCGGCGCCACGATGCTCTGTGCCTGCAGAAACTTCTGAATCGGGAAGTTGGCGGCGTATGCAAAGATCTGCGGGATCAGCCCGTAGACGAAGACCGACGCCGCCCTGGCGATGTCCCGCGACTCCCCCAGCAGCACCAGGATCGGCCGCGACAAGGCGTAGATCACCGCAAGTGGCACCCCGGTGGCCATTAGCAGCACCGTCGACCGCTGGAGGTATACTCCGAGCATCTCGTACTTGTGGGCGCCATACGCCTGCCCGCACAGCGTTTCCACGGCACTCCCCATCCCTAGCTGCGGACAGTCAATGCGATCTTCATGCGTTATTTGCCACACGACCTCAGATAGCTTAGTAGTTACCATGATGCCATAGGCGAAGATTTGGATGCCGGTGTTGCCGAGGGAGGCGGCGGCGAGCTCGACATTGCCGAGGTGACCGGAGAAGATCTGGGTGGACATGGACATGACGAAGTTGATTAGGTACACAATTATGGCCGGCGCCGCGAGGGAGAGGAGCAGCCTCATCTCGATCAGGGAGGCAAGCCCGACGCGGCGGAGCCAAGGGATGGAGGTGTCGTTCAGTATGCTCTCCAGCTTCCCGCTGGTCCCGTGAGCTGTGCCGTCGGCGGCCACGGGAGGCAGCGGCGTCGATGCCTGCAGGGGCAGGCCGTGGCCATCGTCGTGGGCGGGGAATATGAGAGGCGAGGAGAGCTCCTCCCGGGGAGCACTTGACCCCATCCCGTGTAGCCGTTGTGCTCTGGGAGAGTGAAAAGCGGGGGAGAAGAAGATGGGGTCTTGCTCTATTCATACGAGGCCATGAGTGCAACCAGCGAGACATAGAGATCAATGACTCGAGGAATCCAAAAAGGTGATGCACTCAAAGCCATGCACAGTCCTGCTGGGATGCATAAGGCTGTCAACTCTGGTATCGTCGAAATCACTTTCTCAGCTACTTGTCAACGAGAGAGATGGTCACCACCTCGTCCGCACAGTCGTTAATGGTGGTTTTGACTAATACTTATAGAGTCGATCAAATTACGAGACAACAAAGACACCTTATCATACAAAGAATTTGAAGTACACATAGAATATTATTAATTTGGATATATTCTTCACTCATATTCCTTCTTTCATTAATTTTTTGCAATCCTATGTTTTTCCGATCCATGCATTCAATTGAATGCCTGCAAAGTTGGTGTATTATTGACTCCAGCTTGAGCCTATCCTTTATGATAGTGTCATGATAACTTACATTAATCTTCTTTATTGTAGATTATGGTCCAAGTCACAACTAACACCCGTGCATGCCCAATGGTCAAAGACACACTCTACTGATCCTTCAAAAGAGATTTTCATAATCAAATAATATATAATTTACACGTCAAATATATTATAACTAATTTAATTAATATATATAAATCAAATTAATGATAAAAATATAAAGTAAATCACGATATAAGAAGAATATCTTTAGTCATAAAATAATGAGATTACAAAATTCTTTTTCTCTTAATCGAATAAAATATAATTTAATATTAAGTAGATTATAAATAATTTAAGTAGTACAGATCAATCAGATTAATCATAAAATATTAAATAAATCAGGAGACAAAATTTATGTAAAAAAATTCTTCAACATAAAGGAAATAAAACTATGAGCAAAATCAGATTAATTTTTCATCATAGAATAGTGAAATTACAAATTTTACTCTCCCTAGATTAATGGGATGATATCAAATACTATATGAAAAAGAGATTTCAAGAAATAAAAAATCAGATGGAAAAAAGATTTCAAAGATATACATTGATCGATTCAGATATATAAATCAACATATCAAAAAATACGACAATTGAAAACCAATTTTACTAATCAATCATCGAATATTTTTGCTCTTTTATTTTTTCTTCAGTTAACCCATATAAGATTAAAATTAAAATTTTAAATTAATCTCATATGTCCCATCACTAAATCCCTGTATTTCTGGATATTTTCCTCATCACAATGTGCAGAAACTGGTGAGAGAGAGAGAGAGAGAGAAGGAGAGAATTCTCATCTTTTATGTCATTGAGAAGATAGCAGAATGGAAACAAAGTAAAACATAAAGGACAAAGTGATACAAATAAAAAAGATACCAAGTATTTGATGTGCAAATGATCCAACATAATGGCCGATAAAGTACACTTTCTGATTTGAGAGCCAAACAAAGTCTTGCTTTTAGCTTCGACAAGATGTGGAGAACATTGAAAAGTACTTCTAATCATATGCAACCTCCTTCAGTCCATACTATTCGGGCAGCTATCCATGAAAATGATGCTTGAGAAGGCAAAAGATATAAGTCATACAATCTTTGTGAAATTTATGTAACATTTTTATGATAATTTTCTGTTGCCACTTTATGCCATGTTAAAATACTGAATTGATAAATAATGCTTTGCAAGTTTATCTAGGAAACATTTTTCATCTTAAAATTAACCTTTATAGTCGTATAGTTAATGATTAAGCCTCTTTATCATATTACAAAATGATTTTATCTCTAAAAATGACATTATTTTTCTATTATATATATATATATATATATATACTCCTCTACGTCATCACACACACTCTCTCTATCTGCCATAGAAGCTACGACTTGATGGGGCGATCGGCCGGCCGGATGCAATTCCCGAAAGGCGCCGTTCTGGCAAGCCGCTTTGCCATAACGATAACCTCTAGACTGGCCCACCACCACGGCGGAAGGCGGCGTGGCTCCGCCGCTCCGATCCTGTGGTGGAAGCTCCAAGATGCGGTCCGATTGGTGAAGACGCCAGAGCAAGCCGGCGATCGTGGAAAGAGTCATCAGGAGAAAGAGTGTGAACCGGAGGGCGCCTTCTCAGCGAGGAAGCTCGCGGCGGCGTTGTGGCATTTGCAGCAGGTGGCGGGAGTTAAAGGCAGCGGACGACGAGGGAGGGGCGGTCGGCTTGGGTTCAAGGTAGGACCGCAACGCATCCTTTCTTGGGAAACATATATTATCGATTGATCTTTAACCTAGAATTCGATACTTTAGCTGAGATTTCCGTGTGATGAAAACCGAAAATGGTGAATGCTTCAGGATCGTCCTTCAAGAACCTTTATGATGGAAATGGGATTTTTTTTTTTCCCATGTCTTTTCCTCGATCTTTCCCTCTGGATTTTGCGCAGCATTAGTCTAATTTTCGAAAGGTTCGTCCTAAAAATCGCTCTTTTTTACCTACAGTTTACAGGTGGAGAAACTAGGAATGATTAGATATCCTCTTTTTTCTTCACAGAGAAGAATAATTCCCCCAAATTGTGAATCATTTACCCTCAATGGGGGGATATCCCACTTCAATTTATTAGATATTTGATGCTATAATGGATCGATTTGGAGAATGCTCATTTAATTTGATCAAATCCTAATTCGTGTTTTTCGAGGGATTCTACTCTGCAGAAATTAATATTCTGTATTCAATTAGGTTTATCTGTTCATTCTGATATGGCATCCTCTTTATTTGTTTTATCTGACAGCAGCTTGAATCTTGGGGCAAGTTTCACAATTTTGCATTGGAGAGGGCAACAAAATGGGATATTGGGTGCTTAATATCTGTGCGTGAGACTTGTCATAATCATGGTCACCAGAAACTTGTCAATACTCGGCCGAACACTGCTTCTGTCACTTCTTCTCTGTGGGAAGAGCTCGAGCAGGCTCATCTCTACCTTGATGAGCTTCAAAATGAGAGACAGTCAGCCAAGCAAAAGCTGTGTTGCTTCATGAGGAAGCCTTGGGAGGAAAAGGCTTCATGGCAGATCAGTGAGCAAGAGAAAGTTCGGGACATAATAGCAGCCATCAAGGATGATCTCAACAGAGAGAGGAGAAGCCGGAAGAGGATGGAGATTATGAACTCCAAGCTGGTGAGTGAGCTTGCTGAGGCCAAGTTATCGGCAAAGCAGTACTTGCAGAACTATGAGAAGGAGAGGAAGGAACGTGAGCTTATCCAGGAGGTGTGCAACAAGCTTGCAAAAGAGATTAGAGACAACAAAGCTGAAGTAGAATCTTTGAAGAGGGAATCAACAAAACTCCGAGAGGAATTGGATGAAGAGAGAAACACGTTGCAGATGGCAGAGGTTTGGCGTGAAGAGAGGGCACAAATGAAGCTGGTAGATACAAAACTTATGCTCGAGGAGAGACACTCGGAGTTGATTAAGCTTCAAGCTGGTATAGATGCTTTTCTCAGAGGACATGGCAGTACACGTGCAAATACATCAGTGCAGAAAGCTGACGTGCTCAGGGAAGCTGGGTTTGGGTAAAAGCTTCTGTATGAGATTACAGACTTACTTGGCAGCGGTGTCGGCACCACATGGAAAACACCATCACAATCATGATGATGTCCCAATCAAAGCCAACTCCCCTTCTTCTCCACGTGAATCAAAGCAAATAATTTGATTAGAGAGTTGAAATAAGATTCCAAAGCATAGTAAGAAGCCTATTAGAGGAGACAAGCCTAAGTAATGCGTGTAAGGAGCTGAGCTATGTGTCTGGATGCAGGTTAGATTCTGATTCCACTATAATGCATGACATTAGAATAACATTTAACAGCAATTTATTCTTTTTTTCAGGTGCTTCAGTTCTTTGAACAGATGGAAGATTGGATTAATCTTGAGCTACTTTTTGTCTCAGATCTATGCCTCGTTGCAGTGGAACTACAGCCATAATTATCTATGGTCATCTTAGACTACAGTAGCATACAAGATTCATATAATTCATACCATTTTGACCAGGAAAGGTAACGCGAAGAAGAAGATACCATGACTTGAACTCGTTTATATTATAGGGGTGCGATTGTTATCACATGAGGTCTCTCACGAGCCTTTGATCGCTGCGAGTCATGTCAACGTTGGCCCACCTCGAACGATCGATTTGTCGCCACTGATCATGGAGATGCCACATGTCTTATGATTTGTGTCCATGATTCGTAGTGAGCCCATCGATAACGATCGTAATTTCATTTTTTCTTGGGGTATACTCTAACGATTGTTCTCAGATAAACCTTGGTCCGACCAATAGCAATTCCTGCCCCAGAAAGTACCCACGTGCGCATGGGCCCACCACTTTCGGACAAGAGCTTAGACTACTACGTCTAATGAGCTCCACCGAGAATGGACGAAATGAAACCAAGCCCCAAATGACGCGCTTCGGCCTATAAATAATAGCGGCGCCGGCAGTTCCTTCGCGACCGCGTGGTTCTTACGACGGACGATCCTCCCTCCCTCACTGCGCGTACCCTTGGGCGGCGGCGGCGACTATGGCCAAGGGGCGCAGGCGCGGGGCGGAGCGGCTCCTCGGCCCCACCGCCCGTTGCGATGGCGGAGGCGCCGCCGATCTTCCCGACCTCTCCGAGGACGACGTCTGGCCCGCCGTCCTCACCGCCGCCGACGATCACCCGGCCTTCTCCGCCGCCGTGGACGACGGCGACCACCACGATATGGGCCGGCCCGGGACGGGCCTCACCGGCGCCCGCCGCTGGGCCGATCGGCACGTCGGCGGGCTCTCCCTGGCATTGGAGGACGCGTACCCAGGGGCGCCGGCCCCCCATCCGCCGTACGAGCGGCACCGCGTGGTGGCGGCGGCGGCTTCGGCTCCCGTGGACGTGCCGGCGTGGCCGTGGGCGCTCCGGACCCGCTCTGGAGGGCCGTCACCGGAGCGGGAGGAAGAAGACGCGGATGGGGAGTGGCTGCCGCCGCACGAGTACTTGGCCAGGGCGCACGGGAGGTGCCTGGCGACGTCGGTTCTGGAAGGCGCGGGGAGGACCCTCAAAGGCCGCGACATGAGCCGGGTTCGCGACGCAGTTTGGAGCCAGACCGGCTTCTCCGGTTGAACCTGTAATCCGTCCACCCGAGCCGTCCCGACTTTTGAAGCACTCCTTTCCTCTCTCTTTACAACACCCCGCCTTCTTTTTTCCTTTTCCCAAAAACAAGCAAACATAAAAAAAGTGAGATTATTGATGTGTGTTGGAACTGTGACTTGGCCATGCGCCTGTTGTCGAATAATGATAATAAAATAGTTCACAGCAATTAGATCGATAGCGAGAGAGAGAGAGAGAGAGAGAGAGAGAGAGAGAAGCTGGTCGAAAATGGGGGAAGAGCCGTGGCAAAGTGGCACACTAGGTGGTGGGTAGTACTGTGGGTGTGTGGACTTCACAGAAGGAGGGGGGGAATAAAGTGCGTGCAATAATTGAGGGGGGCTGGCGCTGAAGCTGTGATGCACCTGAAAACACCTGGCACCGCCACTCGACGACACACATGTCGCGTTTTGGGTGCACGACAAACAACTTGGATGGAAAAGGACAAGCGTCGTCACTCGTCAGTTCCTTTTCGCAGAGAGAGACGTCTGGTGTTGGGCACCACGGTGAATGCGAGTGCGCGAGTGAGCGAGCACAAAGGAGGGACGTTCTCGAAAGCTACCCCACCTTGTCCTCCCTTAGCTAGTCGTTCATGCACTTGGCGTGGCAGTCTATTTCATCCTTTGCCTTGTCGATAGCCACGATCGAGTCAACTTTGTTGTGCAATATACAGGCACCATCTTACGTATACAGGTTTATTTTAACATGATTACCATGCTTAGCATAATAATGTTGACTTATCTTAATATGAAATCGATGGATAGAACGGGCTTTGGGTGTTGGGCTCGTATGATTTGGCCCATTAGAAATCCAAATTTTAGTTCTGGTCTGAGCCCTTTGGAGGACTTCTGTACTTAAATCCGTAAAGATCTGTCCGTTCATCTTTAAGATCCATCACACATGCTTGATTAAGTATTAGTCGTTCAAATAAACCCTCCAATAATTTTGTCCCAATTCTTCTTGGAAAATTCGAATTCTGAATATATATATATAAACAAATAATAATATTCAAGAAAGCACAAAAGGGAAATATTCATAAAGCGACGGCGGAGGTCTCTTCGCTCTTCAAATGCCCCCAAGAAACCCAAGAGCGAGCGCGAGGAAGAGGCTGCCAACGATGGCCGCGGCAGCCGTCGAGACGAGGAAGATCAAGTGCGATTGTCAGCTCAGGTATGCCAATCAGCCACCCGATCTCGCTTTCTTTTTATCGCTCGCCCCGCTTCTTGATCGTTGTCTTTTTGCCGAATTAGAGATTTGGGTTGATCCTCAATTAGATGGACTGAGATGATCTTTCGTTTTGTGGTGGATGATTTGAGGTAGGATTTAGGGTGATCTTTGGTTTTCTGTTGGATGATCTGGCGACGGACGCTTTGCGTGCGTTCATGGTAGGCAAAAGATTTGTGGTTCATGATTTGTGTGTTTTTTTATGTGACCTTTTGCAGTCTGGTTTTCGGTACAGCTCCGCAGAAATCTTGATTCTTGAATAAGGGAAACCGTAGGTTTATACCTGTTGCTTAGAAAGAATGTGCAAGAACAGATAGAAATAAGGGAAAGAAGGAGGACAGCAGCAATGTGATGAAGGAAGGAAGGAATCGAAGAGGATGGAGAAAAGGCATCATACGCATCACACGAAAAGATGAACTCCGCTTTCAAGAACTCATTTCGTCATGCAACTTGGATTCGAAGAATTGATTCCTTATGACTTGATAACTTTCCTTATCCATTCTAAACTCGAAATAGAGTTCATCAGATGAAATGGGATTCTTGATCCAATTCTGAACCAGACAATGACATTTCTTGAAAGTGTTTGTTGGTCGCCTAATTTTTACATTTTTTGCATTACTTTGTTTTCTTTTAGAAGACCTATGCATTTTATTGCTTAGTTTTGCTTTTCCATTTAAACGACAGGATATGAGGGGGAACAAAGCCTAGCAGCATTAGAGAATGCCAACATATGCATAAGTTGCTGATGGATCTAAAGTTGAAATTTATGATATTAGGAATTCCTTTTCTTGTATGTATGTTCTCTTTTATGTTGCTTTCTCTTCAATTTTTTTTGCATGAACTTATGCATTTAAATCACAGTTGATGAAGAGGGCCTTGGAAAATTATGGGCAAAATGTATGTGCTCATTTCTGCAAGAGTTAAATGATGCTGTTGGAGTTAAGTTCATTGATGAGTCTCCAGAAAACTTAATCGAGAAATTTTTTACTGAATTTGCTTCAGTAATAGCAAACAGGTACGCTATTAAGATTCAATTCATTGTGAATACATGAATAGTTGAATCAGTCCCTGACGACACATTTTTATTTGTTATATTTTGACTTTCTTTAAGTGATCATATCATTGGAAGATGTTCCTAGTGTTATCAGATATCAGAATTTAGTATTTTATTTATGCTAATCATGGCAATGCATGTTCTTTTTAGCAAGCATTGATATTCAAGTTGAACATTTTTGTCCTTGTGTTCAGCCTTTTCTTTTCTAGCTGAATTTGCAGTTGCATCTTTATTTTTTTATTTTTATTTTCTAATTTGTAATCTTGTGCCCATGGCTATGGTTCTTAGTTTGGCATGTCCCTTAATATGTATAAATTAGCGAAGGTTCTTTATGCTAGAAATTTGGTGCATTGACATGCTCTTGATAGGGTCTCGATAGGAATGTTGTATCAAGTCCATACACTTCGATGACATTAGTTAGCATGGATGTCCTAGTGCAATCCTTGTGTTGTGCGGGGTGCCTCTTAGGTTATCTTTCTATGCTTCATGGAAATTTGAAGTTTGAAGATTGTGTTGAATGGGGAGTAGACATTATGCCCTAATTGAATGTGAGGAAAGTATGTTCATCTAACACATGATAGCAAGTTCAAGTGGTGAATCAAAAATATTAAATTTATAATAAACATCAATAACTGACAAAAACATCTAAAATTTGGAGCCGTCTTCACTAATGGGGGATGTAAAACTAAAAGATGGACGAAGTATGGATGTTTAAAAAGGTTTTGAGTGAAAGGCACCTTGTTGACCCATAATTGGTGGTTCAATTGTTAGTTTACTAGTTTAAATTAAACACATGGACTAAGAACCTTGGCACCCTTGTAAATGTTTACTTGTAAGTAGATGTTTATTGTTTGTATAAGGTGGTTCATCTTAGTATTGAGTGCTTGCAACTATGAATTAGGTGAAGATATACCACATAATTTTAAGCTGTAAATGTACATAAAACCAGGGTCTGCCGTACCGAACTGTACCGCCCGATATGGGCGGTACGTACCGGTCCGATAGGTTGTCGGTACACGGACCGCCTGTTACCGGTCCGAGTGCACTGTATCACTGTAGCAGTGCAATATAGCACTGTAGCAGTGCTACAGTACTCGACACACCTGGATGTACCGCTTGGTACACCGTACCGTACCGGTACCGAGCCCAGATCGAAATACCGGTACGGTACGGTATTACGAACCTTGCATAAAACTGCATACAACAGCCACAAAAATAGTCTGTGAGGGCCTAGTTGTTTGGGCTTGGTTGCATGGATTCTTTTCATGCCATTAAGATCCTTTTGGAGCAACATCACAAATCAAACCAATGTTATTGAGCTGATTGGATCTGATTTGTATCCCTGCCCAAGTCAAGTCCTAAGAAGCCTTTGGGACATCAACATCTACAAGATTTTTTCCATGTAGCTTCGTTGAACAATTATTCATTGATATGTTCTCATGACATGTAATATACACCACTGAATAATATTTTTGGAGAGAGAGAAAGAGTGAGAGATTGATATCATTAAATAAAATAATATTCTCCTACTTTAATTGGATAAATTGGAAATAGCACCCATCACCAAGCGTGATTCTTGACATTTTAATATGTAATATACACCACTTGCATTTGGAGAGAGATGAAAATGTTACAAATAACAAATGAGATGTGATGATCCTTCAAGATGTGGCCGTTGTGATCCCAAAAAAGACTGCCTCATGTATTCACGAAGCCCATAAGAACACCAACTTATAGAGCTTGATTTTATAGGAAGTTCAAAATAATAGAAAGTGAGATGCAAATCTTCTTCGATACTTAAGTTAGCAAAAGATTCTTATGACTCAGTATACACTAAGTCTTTAAAATGATTAGCTTCAATTAAACGAGAATATGAGATGATCTAAGATGATGTCTGTGTTCTTCTAATAGTATACCAATATAATATTGAAGAAAATTATACGAAATTGAATTATGATTTAGAGAATCGAAGATTGAGTTATACGTAGCATATACACCATATGCGAGAATCATGAGTTTGCTCAATATTAATATATTAGGAGTTAAAGTGTCATCATGTTGAGTTGGCATCCTCGTATTAATAAGGTATGGATCATATGTTATTGAGATATTAGCAATTCTTTGATTGTTTAATCAATTATTTTTAATATTATTTTCAATGTCTTTGGAATGAGATAATAAGGCCAAAGTACAAGAAAATAACTAATAAAACAATAAATTACATGGCATTTTCTAATGATATCAAATAGTTATCTCTAAATCAGAGTACAAGAAAATAAAATTGGACCCTACTCAAACTATGATCCAACCGAAATTATTAATTTTTCTTCTTTGTCCGAAGTCAAATTACGTACTTACATAGAAGCAAAATTATGTTGACTATCAAATCGAATAAATGCAACACTGTTACTAGTGTCCTCTCAATCTTGCAAGTGCAACGTGAGCTCATCTCTCTCTCTCTCTCTCTCTCTCAAGTCACATTCTTTTTCCTTGGTGAAAACATTTCCCCTTACTGTTCTCAATACCTACTTGTGTAGAGACAGGAGGAAAGAGAGGAGGCATTGATCAAAACCTCTTGTTTTTAATTTCTTTCTTTTTCATTCTCTCCCACTCGCTGTCATAAATTTCCTATATTTCTTCTCCTAATGTTCTTCCTCTTTTGGCTTCCAATCACCATGGAAAACTAATAAATTCTTATGTCGATTATTATAATCTTGACAGCTGCCTGCGGTCTTTCTTGCTGTTTAATCACCTGATCACCTAACAAAAAGGAGAGAGAGAAGTTCCTTATAATGCCTGAGAATAAATTCACCACTAATGAAAATAATATTTAAAATAAGATGCAAATTATCAATCATCAGTGCCAATATCAAAAAGAGAATAGGTAAGTAAAAGAAGATTAACTAAAATAATCTGATATCAAAAAGATAATACACATTCATTTACAAGGCTACAAGGCCCATCTAGATTTCAATTTTCACAAGAATCTATACTTCCGAGAATAAGCAATTCTTGACACAGAATAGGAAACACTACTTAATTCTGTGTTAGGATTCAGAATCCATACGAGTTTCATATTTTTCATACTTCACCTTGCTCTCACTGCCTTCTTTTCTTAGTTGTTCCTATAAAGATGGAAGTTGAAATCGATTCAAGATCATGGAGAAAGGCTCAACAAAAAAACCCAAGCATGCCATGGACGATGATGTCCACATTCATCCCATATCATTTATAGAAGATGAAAACTAGGAGTACTTACAGAAATTCGAGATGCATGCTTCCAGCTTTTATATTGGGACATCAGTTTGTCTCTGAAATGCCTAGAGATGGAAACCGATTTCAAGGAGTCCTAATCAGGAAAGGAGTCAGGATCCAGCGGTTCAGTTACAAGTAGAAAAGAGGTCATTTGTCTGCCAAATACCTGAGCAACATGGTTATGTCCATTTCTATTCGCGAGCAATCTATTCATTTCATCCTTTATACCTTTTCTTTTTTGTTACTTCTGATTTACATCAATGTAACTGCAAGTGACATTATTTTAATTCCTCTGAGTTAATATAGGTTTATGCATCCTGGTCATCTTATATGCTCCTCTCAATAGTTTAAACTAGACTCAAAATTGTGCTTGGTTAGTTGGTTCCATGTTGCCTTCTCTGTACAATCTTTTAATCATGATGGCCTTATTTGGTCAGTCTTAGCTGATGCTATCTTCAAATTTTCTTGCAAGACAACCATGGAAGGAAACTCCATTAGTAAAGCATAATAGATCTGGAGGCTAGCAAATGTTATGTTGGTTGTTGCACACTCATATGGTCTCACAGGAATGGTCAGAATTAGTACAAAGGTAACCTGAAAAATCTGTGATGGCTACAAACAAAGTCTGCTTTACTAAGAATCTGACATCTTAATCCTTCCTCATGTATGCTTTTTCATTGTAGAACTAAGCAATTTCTTCTTTCTAAATTTGATAGGAACACATCATAACTGAGTCAAAGCCTGATTTTTTTCTAGATGACAACCATGTTCACGGTACCTGGCCTGAGCTCGTAAATAGTTTTATGCCTTGACTAAAAGGACGACTTATTCTAGTTAAGGTTGTCTCTTTTAGCTAATTTATGATGATTGTAAAACCTTTTTCTGATTTCTGATCAGGCAATAAACATGAATGTCTTCTGACCTCCCATGATAATTAAAATTTTCTACAGGATCACAAGAATAATCAACTTTAATGTGACTGGCCCAGTTATGGACAAGCATACACCATATATAGTTCTTGTTAACATGGCAGAACAAATCGGCCAAACTGTAATATTGCCATCTGCTAGACGGAAGGAAGACTTTAAGGTTGTGATTTCTCTGGTCTTATGTTTCTTTAATTGTAATTTTAAGTAGTTATATACTTTTTGATTTATCATTTCTTTTCTGGTAGAGTATTTAACAAAAGCTCATATGCTCAGTGTGGATGAAGAAAACTGTTTTAAGTCCTTCAAGCCTTGGTCTCAATTCCTCTATGAAATATTACATCACGTTTATCAAACGAAATATGTAAGATCTTTAGCTTATTGTTCAGTTCTCATCATTTTGGTAGGGTAGAATCAAATGTCTTTGAATTTCCCTTCAGTCTTGAGATCAGTAAATCAGCTTAGCTAGTGACCAAGGCATAGTCTAAGTTTCAATGGTTTAATTTCTTTATTAGTAGCTAGATAAAATTAGCATCGATATACTATAGATAGATCATGGGATCTGGTACGAATATAATGTGTTTACATTGTATATTGAATGTGCTGCATCTGATGCTGCAATTAATTAAAGAGATAATTTCTAGATAAATGATGGCCTGACTTGATTGGCATATATCATCGCCATAGGTTTTCTTTTCATGTTAAACTATGATTGGCATATACTGCTAGAATTGAACCTAATGCTTGTTCCCTGTCCTGCTACTACGTTATGATGTGTTTGAAATTGTCATTGCTTGTGCTGTAAATGATGAAAGTCCCAGATTTCTGGCTTTTGTGCTAGCTTTTAATGTTACTACATTCTTGTCACCATTTCCCTTTTTTGTTTTCTCGGCAAAAGTTCTGTTTCTTGTATCAAAGTTTTTGATGTGTAGTTTTCTTGTATTTATTATTTCTGTCCCAAAAATAACACATCTCTTCCTTTGAACCAAAGGTATCCTAAGCTTCAACTAGAGATTTAAACCAAGGTTTCAAATCTTGTTGCTGTGTTTATATTGGTCGATGGCCAAATCAGTACGCAATGATGGAACGAAAAAAGCATAGGTTTGTACACCAAATCCTAGGGAGAGAGAGAGAGAGATGAGGCACAGGAGGAGCCGTGGGCGACATATACTGGAAGGAGGCAACAACTGTGGCACTAAGTGTAATTGACGGAGGAGGAGGAGGAGGAGGCGAGCGTGCAGGTACAAATAGGTGGAGAAAGACATAGTTGTAAACAGCAATTGACGGTAGAGGAAGAAGAGACCATGTTTAAGAAAAAATGGTTTTTAAAAATTTGTCAAGAATAAAGGTATGAGGAAGGAGGCCTTGTACCGGCGTGGCATCCATCCATTTGATTGATTGCACGCGTCTTTCCTGGTGATGTCTGTTTTGTAATTTTTTTTTTGTTTTTTGTCCAGCTCAGAATTAGCTTCTGCAACAAAGGATCATTTAGAATAAATTACATCATCAGTTGCAAATTTCACGAGAATGCCCAACAAAACCCCTGCATAAGTTAACAAAAGCTCAAATGAACTAAGTACACGCCAGAAAAGGCCTATCTTTTTTTGAGCCCCAGGCTGAGCGATGGTGTCACATATAGACAAGCTTGGATGATGTCCCATGTTGATCGATTGACTCATCATTTGTTATTTATGATTTGATTGGATATGTTAAGTTTTGATCATATCACCACAAAGCTCAAGAGGTTTTCATAGGCAGATCACGGTTTATCAAGGTCATAACCATTGAACAAGACAAAGATACAATGCAACAATGAACTCGACCAATTTAGCCTCTCACCTCGTAACTTAAACATTTCTTCTGCACCGGAGATCTCGGCAGTCTGGTTGGACATTCTTAATCTCTAAGTACCTGGGCAGATAAGTCTAGTCCAAAACGTTGGCATCTTGAACAACCCTTTTTGCAGGGCTATAAACACTGTACTCGCCAAAATCTCGACGTCCACTGCCAGAAGAAAAAAAAGGAAAAGGAAAAAAGAATGTATCAATAAAACCAAAGATGCATCTCACCCGCTTGCAACATTACACTTGTCTACACTGCAGATAATGACCCTGTCTGTGAAAACTAAAATACCAGGAGAATTGGTTCTTGAAACAGCACCAACTCAAGTCTAGGGTGAAACTCTGATGACTATAATCCAACTCTTTACAACAGTCACACAGAAAAACATGACAACCGAATCAAGGTTGCACAGCTTGTATTCCATGGTTATACTATTAACAGTGAAATGCATTTCACAATTTTTTTGCCAGTGAAAACCAAAAGGAGAACATGATCCCTTTATCTCTCAATAGTGGAAAAGGGGCACTGTGTTGCATCAGAGCAGTTCAAAGTTTTTCATACATGTGCTAGAGAAAGCATGTAGAGCATCCAAGAAGACCAAACTAATTCAGTACAAAACATTACAAGAAGAAAACCAAAAAAGACAAAAAGTGAATAAAAAATACTATGAAATAACCCTCAACATATACTAACTACTAAATTCAATGGTAAGCTCAAGAAAAAAAAAATATCACTACATTTGTTTTGTACTGAATAGCAATATCAAAAGATTAATCCTTTTCTCCTTTAAACAAGATAAGATTAATCCTTTTCTCCTTTAGAATGACATTCCATTTTGTTTTATATCATCCAAAACCAAAATGACGCAGGATAAAGAACAACTGCTTACATACTCAATGAGGTATCTTTCTGATCTAATCAATTGTCAATAGCTACATGAATTTTACCCTCAAATCAGTGTGCTGCTGAAAGTAGAGATTGAGAAGATACAGAGGAAAAAGACCTTTTTTTTCTTCTTTCTTTGAAGCAGAATCGTGAGTATATTCTTGTTACACCTAATCCCTGCTTTGACTAGAAATTTAACCTAGTGATCTGATTATTCCTTTTTCAAAGATATCAAAATTAATGATTGAATTCCTACAAAAAATATTCTAGACACTAAAGGCTTGACATGAAAATATATGGAACTCCATCATGCAGCTAATCACAAAAGCTGAGACTAAAGACAGTGTTGTAGTTGTTTATTTTAAAAGGCAGTTTATTGAGAATGGGTTTTCCTGGAAGAGCTTTGTATTACAATGTTGAGGATATGGTTATAACGGAAAGGTAGGAGCTCTATTTTGAAGTGTAAAAAAGATCCTACCCATGGAAGATGATCAGGTCGAGTAACCTTCTCTAACAACAGTTCATAAGTCTGCCAAAATGGTATTTCCCACCATAAACCACAATTAATTATAATGTATGCTTTATTGGTAATACAAACAAATAAGCAATGGAAGTCACCAATGTAGATTGCAAATCTATAGTAGTAAAACAAAAAACTGTAAAATAAGTTGTCTATGTTGAATCAAAACTCAGATACCCAGTGGGAAGTTGATCGTGAAACACACAACCAAGAAATATCATCTTCAGGCTTCTCCACAAATGTCCAGACTTTGCTGGGTTAGCGGTCAACATAGAAATCTTGGATTAAGTTGGGGATTTCAAATTATTATCACCAGTCTTTGATTTGTTCTATAGTTTTAAATGGGTTTTCAAATTTTCAACTGTGGCTCAGTAAATGCAGTTGATGTAAAAGCAGATACCTGATATACATTCTGAATTTGTAAGATTTAGTGATTCACCAAATGCACAAACTGTATAGAAGTGACTAAGATGATCTGGACATTAAGATCACTAGCATAATATCTTCAATATTATATATGAGAGCCAATATGATGTGTTTAAACAAATAAAGTGATGGTTTTCCTGCTTATCCAATTGTAGATGAATCCAGATTTTCTTCAAAAAATAAATGCTGATATAAGAAGAATAAGAACCTTCTTTCTGTAGTGCACATGGAAAAAAAGAAGAAGAAAAACTAATCTATTGATTACCTGTGCATAATGTCCCAACCGTATGGCAAAAAACGGGGATGAATGGCATCAACGAACACTTTTCTCCACCTTTGACAAAATTGTTGAATTCCATCCTCTCCATACTTGCATAGTAAATGCTCTACAACATGTTTCCCATGTGGTCCGTGCCCTAAAAGTGACACCTTTTTTGTAGTTCCTGAAGAAGCAACTTCAGACATGGAAGGTATCAGATTCCTTCTAGCCCCATCTGATGGATTCTCATTTTTATTGCCCTCGTTCATACTGGAAACATTTTCTTGTTCAAGTTCCTGAACTCTATCCAGAATTTGTATGCTATTAGCAACAGTAGTATTGTTATTGAGTAACAAGGCACTGCTTGTATCAATCATGGATGAATTAGACAAACTTCTCCGTCTGCTATCAGTATCCTTAAACTTATATTCCGATGATCCCTCAGCAACATACATGCTACCATTATTTTTGTCATTATCTTCAGCTGTTTGTGCAACACTTGATGTATCATTTTTATATATAATATTCTGCTCATTATGTCTAAAAGATAACCCTCTTTTTTTCTCAAACCGTCTTCTCTCATGAGGACTCATGCCAACAAGTAATGCAGCTTCCAGATCTTCTGCAGAAATTTCCTGTCGACCGAAGTATGTCTTCACAATCTGCATAGGGAACATCATGTCACACTCACCCCTTGCTCAAGTGCACCCGTTGGCAGAACCAATAAACAATGGCTTGCTAGCATAAGTAAATACATATGAATATGCAAAAGGAAATAATACAGAGTTGTATATAGGACAACTTGCTCAAGTGCATCCATTGGCAGTATAAATAATAAATGACTTATTCTAGCATAAGCAAATATATCAGAATATTCAAAGGAAATAATACAGAGTTGTATGTGGGACCCTGGGTATCTACAAATTCAGGAAGATGACACGAAATTTCGACCGTTACCACCCGGTACAGCCCCGTATCGTCCGATACAGGGCAAAAAATCTGGTAGCGGGCGGTTTGCGTGCTGATAGGTTAGCGGACCGGTATGTACCGACCATACCAGGAGGTATGGTACAAAATTTAAAACCTTGGGTAAAACTCGACATTTTTTTAGCACGGAAGCATGCCAATGCTCTGTAACACTGGATTTCTGGACAAGGAAATTCTGCAGAGAGAAGTGCAACTATTTTCTCCTATTTGTCCTAAATCCACAAGGCAAAACAGTTATTTAGTTTTGTGTTTGCAACGTGACATCCATCATTCTGATTTCTATTATAAGCTGGAATGGATCTATTCATATGAGCAAGGAATTCTCAGAATTTGCACGTGAATGTGACTTTCAATTTAGATGTCTCACTCATTAAGTAGATGTAAACACTGCAACTGATGCTAATGTTGGTATCAAATATTAAAAATGTTCTAACCTGCGTCAATTCCTCAAGCCTTCCTGATGGCATGTTGGATCCATGGCGTAGGAGAGCCATAGCAGCAGTTCGTAACTGCAAAGGAGCGACACCTGTTTCTTCTGTTGGGTTCACTGATGTTGAGGCTACAGTAGCAACTGTGCTTTCTCCCAAATTAACAATTTTTTGCACAAAAAGAGGAATTCCAAATTCCTGTGCTACTTTCTTCTTATACTTCTCAGCAGCAGAATGAGCTACTTCGTGGCAGTCCACACAGAGCAAAACAATATCATGAGAACGGTGGCTCTTCAAATGCTCAGGAAAGTGCATTCTATAGCAGGATGGTATTATTCTGTAGCGTATGTAGTGGCTTTTCTCCCCACATCCAACACACATGTTTTTCTTACTCTGAATATAGAACTCGTTATCTTCATCCTCTGGACGGCCTTTTGGTTCAAAAAGAAGCATAATTGCTGGAGGATCATCTTCTACTATTCTTGCCAAATCTCGCTGCACATACCTACAATGAATAACAAAGAAAAGCATCAAAAAATTAAATGCAAGATGTACCAGGTATGCCAAGTTCAAGGTTCACTAACCACTCCAGTTTCCTTCGATCACAATAACAAAGCAATCTTCCATCACTAGCATAAATCCTGCAATTATGGTATACTGGCGATTTGCAAGAGAATTTCTGAATAAAAAGCTCTCGGGAGGCTCTTTTGCCAACCATTGGAGTGAACTTTTCAACACTTGGCTTTGAAAATGACATACCAGCATGTTTCAGACTGATTTCAGATAGAAGACCATAGTTGTATGCTGAAAGTGGAGAACACTGAGCATGATCTAGGTGCTTGTCCCAAAATCTTCTGAAAACATCATCTATATTGGCGTTCATTTCCTGTAGGAGAATGCAAAGATCTTCCACATGATTCTTGGCAATAGGTGATGGTGAAGGTAAGGCAGGATGAGCATTTAAACCATTACTTATATCAACATGTAATATGACATCATATATTTCTGTTGGACTTTTTGGAGCTTTTACAGCAAGAGCAGCTATGGCTTGATCTGATAGAACATATCGTAAGCTCTCATCATGAATTCGGGCCTGCAGAATGCAGCAAAGCATTAGGACAAACACATTGCTCCAAAAATTCAGTAAAAGATGCAACATTGTGAAACACTACCATAATAAAAAACTATAGGAATGTTACATGAGATAAGGAACACTAGTCAACTTCACACACAAAGAAAAAGAATTCAGTGCAAACGACTGGATTTTCTAGTATGTGGACATGGCAAGAGAAGGTCAAAGGGAAAACTTGAATGACGTGAAGTTGTTTAGTTATTGTAAAACCTAATAAATTAAGCATGTAAATTGAATGTATCATGCACCAGAGAATATCAGAAACTCACAGTTTTGTCATGTCTCAATTATGTATAATGTGAAGGTTTTAATTTTCATTTTCAGTGGCACTCCCTGTGCCTGCTGGTTGCCAGGGACAGTTGCCATTGTGTCATGAAATGTTGTGTGTGTAAATGATCAGTCTGAGATAATGTAAGAAAAAGCAAATCCAAGTTCACCGTTGATTCTCAGAGAGGGAAAAAAAAAAACTCCTCTGGCATCAATTTTGATGAGAAGAGGCAGCAGCAAGTTGGTAACTACTTAGCTTTATGGTGTCCCAAGTGAGTCCTAATGTAGTGAAGACCAATGAGCCATATCTGTGCCAGTGTAAACCAACCAAGGTGGTCCAAACTGGTCCAGTTCTACATATGGTTCATTATCCTAAACATAAATAAATGTAAACCTCTAGAGAGTGCAAAAAGAAGTCAAAAACAGAAAGATCCCTGTTTTTAAATAATATAACCATACTAATGATGGCTATCGGTATCACCATGTGCATATTATAAATGATTTTCTGTAGTGCTAGTTATTCATGATAAGTAGGTGTGACAGTTTGCAAATCAGCCAAGAACAAAAATGTTTCAAGAAATTGTCCAAATAATGTAATGTCATACATCATGAAATGGATCACGTGAACTTTGTTTGCAATTAGTAGAATGTGTCTCAATGTACAATATGAACTTGTACATAAAAATCTTACTGCCCCTAAGATGTACAAAGCAAGGAATGTCACACCGACCAGCACGAGTCAGTATGTTTTATATCAATAGCCCTGTGCTAAACCATGCCAACACTAGATAAGTACATAGTTGAATTTCATCTCATTAAGAAAATAAAAACAAATATTAACAGTAGACGAAGTTTGAGATTATAAACTTCCAAAAAAAGATGAAGACAAATTAGTGTTAGAAACAAAAGCTGATGCTCTACTTGCAATAACATCTATTCTCCAAGAGGAAAGCCTATGTGATGTTCTGTCAAAAGTTTCTTCTGGATTTAATAAACACAAAATTCTATCATCTCTCTCTTTCGGATACTCTAGCAAAAGGGAACAAGACCAGGTCGAACCCATCCATCAAAGATTGTTGTTCTAGAGAGGTATCAATACGCATTGACTAAGCTATGCTGGCAACATTAACACATGGATAGCCCAATCTATGGCTTGGGCTGACCTGTATACGGGCATCACCATGTTGTGTTATATAGGTATCAACATGCCCCCATACTTCTATATGGAAACTTTGCCAAACATATTTCCATTCATTTTTGCATCCCCACTGAACAGAAGAAACCCTCATAGGATGACAAACCATCCCACCTAACAGAAGAAATCCCCATAGGGTAAATCAATATACAGCATGCAAAGGAATATTTTAGATCCTTTTCTCAAATAGGAAAGTTGGCAGAAATATAATATACAACAATAAAACAATAACAACAAAATCGTAAGTTCTAACTCTTTAGGATACAAATTTACATTGACAGCAGGACATGAGCCCAGAAATAGAATATGATCTTTTGTTTTTGTTTTTTTTTTTTTGACAAAGGATAAGTGATGAAGGTGGGATACGAGTTCAGGACCTTGCAATAAGCTAGAGGACACATTCAAATAGAATATGATCATATTTTATTTCGAACCAAATGTTGAGGGTTCAAAATAGAATACGATCATATAATAATTTTCACATGAATGGTTGTGTTAAAAAAATGAATTGTTCCCCCCAACAATTATTCAGCAGAATTATCACTGTGTTTACCCTTTTAATTGGATCAATATAAAAATTTTAGCTTTTCTTGAAACATCTTCAGAAGATTTTTAATAGATACAAGATGCCTCTTGAAACTGTATAATCTGCAACCCGATCCATTGATCAAGCCGGTAAAAATAATATTGTACTGCCAGACATTAATCACTGATCTACTTCAATAAGAGATTGTCATATAGAACTTGTGAACAATCATAGCTCAGCACATACTACGAAAGTTGGATAGCCTAATTACTGAATATTTACCATTGTACGGATGCCAACATACCATACTTAGTCCCACACTTGATGCATAGTTTGTTTTGTTAGTGTTAACAGACAAAATAGTTTCATTTTTTCATGAAACTTATGAAAGTAAAAGAATAGTATGGTATCTGCTTTACTGAAAAGAAATTTATTTGAATAAAACAGCGACAGGAAAACAATTTAAAAGAAAACTATAAATCATACTCATTTGAGTATAATAGAACTGACCATTAAATCTCTCCATGCACAGAATATCCAAATAAGATCCTGAAATTGGGAAAACAGAAGAAAGAAACTTTCGAGTTGAACACCAACTTAGTGCATAAATGAGTTCAATATGAAATAACGTGAAAAGAAGAATACCTTCATTTCCAACCTTCTCCAGGATGTGATCCCTACAATGTTCAAATTTCGTGACAATATAGAAGCTGCAGCAGAAGCCCCAGGGGTAGATTCAACTTCTTTGGCATACAGTTGCATGCAGACCATGTTTGACCGATGACTGGCCTCGAAGAAAAAATTCAACTTGTCATCCAGAGAAGCTGAAAGATCTGATTACCGATTAAATAGTTTCTAAATGATGTCGATGTTACAATTTTCATAACAATGATGGCCTTTTGAGAGAGACACAATAATAATATTGAACTTACTCGATCTCATCATCACAACTCAGGAGATGAAAATTTATTCTTTGGAAAAATTAATTTTCAGTTAAAAAGGTAAATATATCCCATTAGCTTACTGCACAAATAATTTGTGCTCTTTGGCGAAAGCATGTTCAGAGATCCTAAAATTCAATTCTAAGTCTCTCATTCATCATTACACAGTAGAAAATAGACAGATCTTTTTCTTTGATCAGATGGGACACACACCAATGAGAACTCTACTTGATAAAAGTGGAAAAACACAGACAAATAACAAATGTGCATGCATTAATGACTAGATGAGGTTGAGATACACATCGACAAATAGACTGCATCCAACTAAATCAACTGATTAGAGGATTCAAAAATAGAGATTTTAGAAACAATTGAAGTATCTCATTTAGCACCCAATGCACCACAATAAGTTCCAGAAAAGCATAAAATGTGTTGTCAACCTTTGATTTAAGTGCAGAACCACAATAAGGACTCCTTCAGTAAATGGTTATCAAAGATTCAAACAATCCTGATAGTTGAACAAACTTATATGTGAAATATGAAATTTGTATACCTAGGCTAGAGAGAGAAAATTGAAAATAACGATATGCATAGACCATAAATGCATACAGTGTTCGCCATGTCGTGGTGTACCGGGCAATATATACTGGTTCGACAAGGGACTGGCACACAGACCACCCTGTACCAGGCGTTCCATGACATATGATCCTATATCGCTCGATATGGGGACTATACCAAGTGGAATGATCGAAATCTGACCGTTACCGACTTGTACCGATCGATAACGATCGGATTTTGACCTTCACCGATGAAGGGTTGGGATTTATTGAATTCAAACAATCCATTTGACAATTTGAACAAGATTTATGGGTTTTTAAACCCTTTCTACCCCTTTATTTAGCAATCGAGTCGAGCAATGAGACACCTTCTTAATCGCATTCAGCAACCCACTTTGTCTGTAGATATGACAGCGACATGGATAGTAGTGTCTCGACTGATGATGGCGATGACACTACGGAGTCGATGGTCTCGTCTACATAGTTTGAGGGTTGTGCATGGATCGAGAAGCAGTATTTTATGCATGCCACCCAAGATTCAGATTATGGAACTCGATAAGGTACTAGTCAAATTTATATAGGGAAGGGGAAGGGGAAGGGGAAGGGGAAAGGGAAGAGAGTGGATGATTTTGAGTAGATACACTAGAGCCTACACGACGTAGACACAAAGTTGAGCTTATTATATTATGGAGAATCTTACAGCCAATAACAATACGATGATAGTTGGTCAATCTTCTCCGAGGAGCAATACGATGATCGATCATATGATACAGAGCAGCAGATTAGTGGAGAAAGTAGAAGTTTAAGCAATCTCCGATCTCCACACTAATACATGTCATAATTGTACTTGCTTCAAGAGCTGCCTCAGACACGTGTGGCTCACGATGATCAGACTACGACCATCACCATATTGATGCACCGATGGTATACAGTGTATCAGACTATTAGTATACTATGCTGTGGGATTAATTTCAGGAGTGGGTCCACCAAACATATCATATTGATATACATATATATAGGATCGAGGACCTCGATCCATCGCCCGTGAAGTCCCATCATTCTTTTTGGTGGTAAAACCAGATTTATCCATTGATCAACCCATTTATTACTTCATTCATTTGAATTTTAAAGTTCAACTCGAAATTTAACAACTCAAAATATTTTTTTTAGATAATTCAATATCAAAGGAAGGATGGTTTGGAACATGTCGCCAAATTGCTCATTAAAACCCTAAAAAGATATAAGCCACTATTCTTTCATAATTTAGAATATTGTTGCTTAAATTATACTAAATTTATAATTATTTCCAACTTAAAAACCCTAATTTAAGTTGTGTTTTCCTAATGTTTAGATATTTTCGAAGGGGTTTTTGGAGTTTTCTCTGTGCCATCGACATGCACCACTACGCCAACTCTCGACACACCGACCGGTATGAGGTGACACGTACCTTGCCACCGACCAATCGGCATGCTAGTTCGAACCAGTAAGGCAAACCTTGGATGCATACATATTTTAAATATGGTTTTGGAGGCACCAATGCTTGATAACAAAACATGTTAAAACAAGCTGACAGGACAGCATTGTCAAGCTATACAAAAACCACGATAGATTAATAACATCTTAAGTCATCCTAGTAAGGTTCCTTGCCATTTGCTCGGAATTCATTGATTCAAAAAACTATAACTCAAAACCATTAAATTTCTAAACAATAATCTTCCAAGCATCAATCCAGACTGAAAAAAATAAATGCATACCAGGGGTTTTTCTCTTGAGTTCAGAGACCAAACAGTCAGCAATATATAACAAATAGTGAACATCGTTACGAGCATACTCAATCATTTCAGCTGAAAGAGGACGCAGTCTCCAATCTTCACGCTGTATCACAGATATATATAACCCATCAGGATATAGCAGCCGATACACTTAGGAATGATTTAATATGCACAACTCTACATCCCAAAGAACATTTTAGCTTGTAATAAACATCAAAAGAGTGAGATCATATAAATAAAGCATCCACTTTGGTGTTTGATAAATGTGATCGAGTGATGAGCTCATCCCCTGTCAACACCAACAATCTGGTAATTATATACTTCCAATAATAATAATATAATCCCAAAGAATAATGAATACATCATCATTTAAAAAAACTGATCACTGCTGGTTCAAATGCAAGACAAATCCACATTAAAGGCTACAATAATGCCACTTGCAAGTTCTATATATAAAAAAAAAGTTTTCATACGCCGAATGAGTCCAATACTGTTTTCAGATTTAGTAATCCTGATTTTCATGGTCAAGACAAAACTCCCGGCCAACTCCCAGGCCCCCTCTTCTTCCGGTGATTAATCAGCCACCAAGTGATAGTGAAGAAGATGAGCAACTAGTAGGTGAATAGGAGGATCAGCAGAGAAGCACAAGAACAGTCATTTCTTTATTTTTAACACTTCATAACTTTTGAAAAAGAAATTTGAATTATAATTCACTTTTAACTAAAACTTCATCCCTATATCCAGCTAATTTGTTGATCTCAATTCCAATCCCTATTTACCCTAAGGACTGATTCTGATTTCTGATCCCAAATTTCATAATTGCCTTTTGACAGTGAAAAGGAAGCCTTCTAGGTACCATGACTGTCAAAAAGTAACTTCATTAGTCCAATGACATGCAAAGACAATTTTCGGCTAGAATCTCATGATTATTAAATGTTATGCATCGATATGTTTATTGAAGTATATATTGCACATGAAATCATGTTATCAGAATAAGTTAGACTTATAAATAAGTATTTAAACCTGCAAAGTTTTGTCAGTTGACACTCCACAATATGTCTCAAGCAAGTATGCTAATGATTTTTGTGGCTTTGACAAAATCTCACATGCCTGCAATGCAAAAAACAAGTAAAACAGAATATTAATGATATCTTCAAAAACATATGAAGCCACAGTGGTGCTAATCATTTCCCACAATATATGTGCACATAACATCACTACGGATATAAGGACATTCTGAAGAGAAGTATCACATTTAATTCAAATACATAGATTATGTCACTATCCATGTAAACCAAGTTGATGGCACTACTTACAGCCATATATATGATTTTATTGTGTATGGAAGGTATATAAGTTGAGGTCGACCAAAGCATTCAGGTTTCCATGAGACACTTCAGAGAGTGATATTACCAAACTTTAGACAGCAATCAACATATCTTTGGATAATAATGACAACATTCTGTCCTCAAACTCAAAGGCAGATTCATTGGCTGATAACAGCATCAACCAGACATTGCCTGTCAATATAAGGGGGTTATGAATCCAGATGTGCACAAACTATGCTGGTCTGTGCCTGTACATGCTATGACACAGATGTGCAAAAAATGTTAAATTCTGATTTTCAATAGCCTACCTCGAGGAAGGATGACAGAGACAGACAGACTGACTGACTGACAAACAGAGACAGAAAGAGCTGCCTACTTGATGTGGACAACACGGTCTGATTATCATGAACAAAAAGAACTTAGTTGCTAGATCCCTAAACCTCCCAGCCATTGTGCAGCTCTCAATTCTACATTTCCAGAATGCCTAACAACTTCCCAACCAATTATCCCATATAACAATCACCTAACGAGGCTTCTAGAGTTTGACTCTTTTCGTTCCATTTAAGAGGTACTTACTCCTGTTTTAATATGCTGAATCAAACTTTCCAATAATATCTCAATCAAATTGAGTCAATCCTATGCACTATGAAAATGGCCAAGTCAGGAACCTAGCTGTTGACATCCTTTTGTAAGCTCGTAGAGTCAAAATTTGTAATAACATCAACAGACCTGAAGGATGAATTTTAACTTGGCCTAACTCCAAAGTTTAAGATGGCACCAATCATTCAATGAACTGCAATAATGAATTTTCTTTGAAGAACCAAAACAGAAGTCTTGCTTCGTTTTGAATATCAAACCGTGTTAATTGTCCCTTTTTTTTTTCTTCTCCAAGTGTTAAGTGTCCTTAAGGCTGACAGACAAACTTTAATAAACTCGTAGAAAGCAGTCTTCTTAAATTTTGCATTCACAAATAACAAGTTATTTAATAAAAATTACTACAAAAACTGTAGTGGATGAAAGATTTTTTTTTATACAACTGCTGCATAAATTTCAAATCATTTCTAGAACCAAGACATTTTAAACTTCATAAACTGATCTGACTAAAGCACAGAATATATAAAAAGTCAAGTGCTAAGATTTAAAATATTTTAAAAGTGGTAAAAAAACTAGCTAGCAAATATTACGTAAACATCTTAAAACTCTATGCCTGTCACATGAGTGATCACTAGCTAAATGATAATTTAAAAAGCAAAACATGTGCAAGAAAATCCTTAAATAATTTTGGAAAAGTAGTAACACCTTTGCAGTATCAAACATGTTCACAACATATATATGAAAGTCTCTTTGAAGCCAAAGAACATCATTGTCAGCTCCATGAAACACCTGCAACATGAAAAATATAACAGTCATTCTAAGGCATCTAGATCAGATTTATCTTTCCACCATTCAAGAAGGCAAGAACGATTTAATAGTAGAAGCATGGTATGCAATTTCGAATAGTACCGTCCGGTATGGACGGTACGTGCCGGTCCGACGGCATACCGGTATGCGGACCGCCCGCTATCGGACGGAACGTACTAGAGTGCTACAATATTACACGGTAGCACTGCTACAGTGCTACAGTAAGAGAAAAATATATTTAAAACCACTCGGTATGCCCTGGTGTACCGAGCGGTACATGGTACCGTACCATACCGAGTCAACCTCGAAACACCGGTACGGTACGATATTGCATACCTTGAGTAGAAAAACAAATGAAAAAAAAATACACATGATCTTCTAAAGTTGACATATTACCTTTTGTTGGGGGGAGCAAAGGATGGGCAGGTACTCATTAGTCTCTCTCATTACAAGATGAAGTTTTTAATCTGTTTTTATAACCTCATCTATATTTAAAATAATATAAAAAATCAGATTAGAAAAAGCAACTTACATATTGTTCAAAAGATATAATATAAACACATTTAGAAGTATTATATAGTATATACTATATACAACCAAGGTTCGTAATTTCGTACCGTATCGTTGTTTTGAACTTAGCTTGGTACGGTACGATATAACTATACCGAGTGATACGTTTCGATATACCGCTCGGTATATATATAATTTTATTAATTGAAATATTCTTAACATTTTATCCTACAAAACTCACAAGATTTATCCTTCATTATAATAATTTTTTTAAGCCTTAATGGTATGAAAAAGAAGAGAAATATTTATTTAGTAATAAATTTTATTATAATGAGAATCCTTCTTAAACCTAATGACCTCTAGATACAATGCACTTGACTACCATTTTGGACCTAGAAGTCCAACTAGCTTATGCTAATAAAATAAACTCAAATCTCATGCAAACAGCCTTCCTAATATAAGATAATATATGGAATTATGGATAATTATTCAGAAAAAAATTAAGACCTGTTTAAATTTGACTTAAGAATATGAAAATATTTGAAAATGAACTCGACTTGGCCGCTTAACTAAACCTAACCAAAGTAGAATTGTTCTTGAAGCCATACTTTTCATCACGCAAAAAGTAATTTTTGTATCTACCCAACATGTCGAGTCATGAACTCTTGAGAAATTCATCTTGGTACCTACTTTCTAAATAATTTCCTAAAATAACATTAAAAAGTGCTACATCCAAGCACCCAAACTGACATTGTATCTAGATTCAGAAAGGATTAAGACGGTACCTCCAACTCAATTCCTTTTCTATATTCACATAAGTATATACAACATTTTTAAAGAAAAGCTTCTTAATTTAGTACAAATTAGGGATGGCCAGTGATACATGCCAGAGTTTACCTTAGTCTCCAATAAGACCAATGTAAGAAAAAAGATCTGGGAGGGAACACAATTGCTCATGAATTTCATCTGTTTGTTATTAACAACATAAACAAGATGTTGTCCTAGCTTTCTCAAGTCAACATGGATCCAATCCTTTCACACCATCAAATTCTGTTGATGGATGTAACAGATGATCCACAGTCCATGTGGATAAGTTCAACTATAAAACATAAGTTGTGATGTGACAATTGTCTTCAACTACTTTAACTTTATTATAACAAATCTTGACCATGAATTATATATATCTAGGTTTTAAATTAAGATTTATTATGTTGCAAAATTCTAGCAACATGAAACCACTACATCAATGTAAAAAGTTCCACAAAAGCCAAGACTTGATAGTCTAACAGTGTCACATTCCAAGCTCAAGACCATGTGGGAAATGCCCCAAAAAGTACTCACAAAATTGGAATGGGTTATAACTCATGTGCCGATCAAGGAATAGCCCACGGCATACACAAACTAATCAGATCATGGTATTACACTTTTTTGCCACATCCTGAGCCTGAACACTTGTAATCCTTTCTGGAAGCATAGATCAAGTGGTTTTAGGCTCAATTTATGGCAAAAATGATACTAAAGCAACACCAACTTGTGGTGTGCAAGCCATATTACGACACCACCAACTGTGCATCCTAGTAAATCTCTAATCCAATAGAAACATGAAAAAGGGATAGTAACAGGCTAACAGCAATGTAAACAGCAACCTGGTCAGCCATGATGCCTCTGGACTTCACATAACTTGTGGGGATCCTGGTGATCCTATTTGATGTTGTGTGTGTGAACCTGATGAGGATGTTTGGGGTTCAAGTCGGAAAAATGGCAAATTGTAATATCCAAATCTGATTGGTCCCACATCATTTGTGGGCTAGGCTTCCAATAATATATGAGTTACAACCTAAGCCCATCTGGTGAATACTCCATTTTAAGTATATAAATCAAGGTTCGCAATACCGTACCGTACCGGAGTTTCGATCTGGGCTCGGTACCGGTACGGTACGGTATACCGCTCGGTACACCCAGGTGTACCGAGCGGTATATTCAGGCGTGCCGAGTACTGTAGCAGTGCTACAGTACTGTTACAGTGTCGGAACGATAACATATGGTCCGCGTACCGAAAGTCTGTCGGACCGGTGCATACCGCTCGATATGGGTGACATGTACCAGTCCAACAGGGGACCGATATGAGTGGTACATCGGCACATCCCTATGTACCATGTGTCGGTATGCTTGGTACAGCTCAGTATAACTTGATACGTACCATATCGATAGCTGGTCGGTACACCGATACGGACTGGAAAGGCAAACCATGATCTAAACAATAATCCAAGTCAAGACTCGAGTCAAGACCCAATCGAATCACAACTGCACCACCAACTTAATTTGTATCATAGTCATATTCAGATTATAAATGTTGATGTATTTCACCCTTATGTTAAAAGACAATTACGAAAGGCTTCTAGAATCCTAGTCAAAGTCAAACTGGTGTCCAAAAGCATGTTAAATTAGTGTACTGTAATATTGTCTAGAGTCTAGACCAAGGTTCGAAATACCGTATCGTACCGACGTTTCGGCATTCGCTCGGTACGGTACGAAACGGTATACCGCTCGGTATATATATATATATTATATATAAAAATTAATATATATATATATAAAAGATTATAAAGATTATATATATATATATATATTTTATTTAAAAGGTGACGTCGCCCTTTTCCTTCCCCACGCGGGGCGACGTCGTCGAGGCGACGCGACGTCACCTCGTTTATTTAAATATAAATAAATTAAATATATATATATATATAT